TGCTTTATGTTTTTAAAAGATCGCTCTGGAAACTGGAGGAACTATAGACTAACCCTGTGCATGTTCCATTTCACCGTGTGTAACCTGTGACTTTAATTCCTAAATGTGGGATTGCTGAGTCAAACGGCGATGCGTTTATAATTTTATGCATATGGCAAAATTTCCACCTGGTTCCCCTTCCCCAGCCAGGTTGGAGAGGCCAGTCCCTGCATGGCCCCTACAGTAAGAATGAAGCTTGGGGAAGTGGGGATTTTTCCAGTTGGTCAGAGGTCACAGAATCAAGATGGTGGCGGGGTCGTGTTCCTTTTGGAAACACTCCGAGGATGTCCCCTCCTCCTGGGTATCACCTGCATTCCTCTGCCCTTCTTCAAACCCAGCAGCAGAGCGTCAAACTCCTCCTCCTTCTGTCGTTCTTGACCTTTTCTGACTCGGCAGGATGCCTGCCTCTCGCAGAGACCCCTGTGACTATCTGCTGCTTACCTGGTCTCTCCCTCATCCCAAAATCCTGAGTTTACCCACACCGGCTGCATCCTTTTCGCCATAAAGGTGACAGTCACAGGTCTCAGGATTAGAATGTGGACCTCTGTGTGAAGGGGAGTGCAGGGAGGGCCACTCGCTTGGTTTTTGGGGTTTTGGGTGGGTATTTTTTTGTTTTTTTCTTATGATAATCTCCTAACCTTGCTTACGGCTTTGTGGTAGTTTTGCTTTTTTTTTTTTTTTTTTTTTTTTTGTCTTTTTGAGACAGAGTCTCACGATGCAGTTCAGGCTGGCCTTGAGCTCACTTTGTAGCCCAGGCTGGTCTCAAACTCACAACGATCCTCCTGCCTCAGCCTCCCGAGTGCTGGGATTACAGGCGTGAGCCACCACCCCTGACTAGTGGTTTTGCTTTTGTTTTTGCCGCTTGGAGTTCTTCCTGGTAAGTAGTGTGAAACACAAATCAGATTTTACTTGTTTCCACACAAGTCTTTCGAGGAAACAGTACCAGCCCTATTTACTGAAGTGTTCCACTTTTCCCTAAAATATAGTATCTTCCTATATGTAGCTTAGTTGCTTTTTGGATTTTCTTTTTTTTTTTTTTTTCTTTTTTAAGTAAAACAGAAAAAAAGTAAATAATACAGAATTTCAAAAAAAATAACAGTATGAAATCAACATTAGTTAATATATTGCACATTGTTATCTTAGAAGTAGTTATTCAAGTTATAAAATCAAAGCATAAAAATTGAACAGTCAAACTGTTCAATGACAGCACAAACTATTCTTTTTGATGAACTAACAGAGCATTAGTAGTATGGTTATCTGTCTTGCACATTTAAACACACATAAATGTGTGTGTATGCCTACAAGTTGTTCTCTCCTTTTGAGTACTTTCTTTCCCTTTCATTATTATAATATCTATTTGGACTTTCTGTTTTGTTCCACTGTTTGTCTATGAAATGTGTGTGTGTGTGTGTGTGTGTGTTTATCGGTACTGGGGATTGAACTCACAACTGCCTGCTTGTAAGGCAGGCGCACTTATGCCACTGAGCTAAACCCCCAACCCCGTGTGTGTAGTTTTTAACACGGGGTCTTGCTATGCATTTCAGGATGGCCTTGAACTCATGGCAGTCCTCTTGCCTGAGCCTCCTGAAAACTGAGATTACAGGTTGCACCACCACACTGGGCCTACAAGTATATTTCTGTTTTCGTTTTGTTTTGTGTGTTGCTCGGCTGGTTGGTTGGGAGGGCTGTTTGTTTGTCCTGGCGATCACCCATGGCCTTTACGCTGAGGTGCATCCCCAGCCCTTCCTTTGTTTTCTTTTTTTTTTTTTTTTTTTTGTCTTTTTCGTTTTTATCGGTACCGGGGATCGAACTCACGACTGCCTGCTTGTAAGGCAGGTGCTTATGCCACTGAGCTAAATCTCCAGCCCCTTGTTTTCATTTTGAGACAGGGGCACACTAAGTCACCAAGTTCTCAGTCTCGGGGCGTAGGATCACAGGGGTGCACCCCACAGCCGGCTAGCGTCCAGGGCTTGGTGGAGTCTACAGTGTCCACAGGCTGGGCCAGACTGGACCTTCGTACCCACCCCTTCACCCAGGCACAGTGTAGCACCTTGCTCCTCCTTTTCCAGGGTTTTCTCTATTATTCTTATTTATTTTTCCACATGAACTTTAGACCCAACTTGGGGGGAAGGTGTTAGTTTTGTTGGAGTAACTTTATTGGGATAGGTCTTACTGTCTTTTGAACATGATATTCTATCAAGATGGTTTGTTCCTCCAAGGTCTTAATATTTTTTCATATTAGTTTTACATATATCAGGTTTATTCTCAGCTTTTTAATCTTTCTTTTTGTAAAAAAAAAATGGAAGAGAAGACCCTGTTTGTGGCAACTTTGTGATTAGTCTTTATGTATGAAAGCTAGGTTAATATGGTTTTGGTGTTAATTATAAATTACTGAGTTACACGCTGTACTTGGTCACTTTCTTATTTAAGGTAGTTTTTTAGTTGAATCTTTTGGTTTTCCCATGTGCAGTCGTGTGCCTTCAGATAGAGATGAACTTGCCAATCTCCGTTGCCTCTCTCTGGCTCTTCCATTTCAGTGTTAAATAGCACAGGTGTTGTGTGCACCTCTGTCTTATTCCTTATCTTAGTGAAAAGGTCTTACGTTTCTTAATAAAATATGTGCTGGCTTTCAGTTCTCTCTCTCGCTCCCTCCTCTCATGTTAAAGAAATACACATGGGTTCTTACTTTACTCTTTTTTTCTCATAAAGAATAGGTGTTGAGGGGCTGGGGGTTTAGCTCAGCGGCATAAGTGCCTGTCTTGAAAGCAGGCAGTCGTGAGTTCGATCCCTGGTACTGATAAAAACGAAAAAGCCAAAAAAAAACAAAAAAAAAGAGTAGGCGTTGATTTTTATTAAGTGTATCTTTAGTATAAAGGTAATATGGCCTTCCTAAAGCTTATTAATAGGATTTATTACTGTAATACTTTAAAGTACATTCTCAAATTCTAAGGTTCAACATTCTGTCATTTATACCTCCTATTCCATAAAGTGGGTCTTAAATGCCTGCACCGTTCCTCTCCCTCATGGCTTACTGTTCCAGCGCTACCTTACCTATTTACAGCCGTTGCTTGCTGTTAGTGGAACTGTGTCTGTGCTCAGAGCCTTGGTCGGACTGCGCTGAGAGCTGCCCTTGACTGGCAGGCAGGAGACTCCCTTCCACACGGCTAGAGCAGCGCGGCTGCATCTGAGCGGCCTTTCAGTGGGACCTGCCCAAATTCTCCTTAGTATGTGGCATTTTGTCTTCAAATAGTGGTAGAAGAAAAAAATGTATCCTATGAGCACAACAAGAAAAGTGCTGGGGTCAGTTAACCCTTCTGGGTGAGTCTTAGATGGTTTCCGGTTTCAAAGGAACACTGTGAGAACCTTTTCCTGTAATTCTGTTCCATCCTTCAGCCTCAGAGAGCCCACTGGGTACAGCCGACTGCCCAGGGTTGAGCACTTGAACTATGGCTGTTGGATGTTTGCACTGTAAATACACACGGATTTCAAAAACGGAGTACAAAGAAGAACGTAGAATAATTCACAATTTTGTATTGATTAGATGTTGATATCGTTTGGATTATTAGGATAGATAAAATGTGTCTTTGTTTGTTTGTTTAAGAGAGCGTCTTGGGCCAGAGATTTAGCTCAGCAGGGTAAGCATCTGCCTGGCAAGCGTGAGGTCATTGAGTTCGATCCCCGGTACCAAAAACAGAGAGAGAAAAAAAGGAAACACAGGGTCTTCTTTTTTTTTTTAATTTTTTTTTTTTCTTTTTCTTTTTTTATCGGTACAGGGGATCGAACTCGAGACTGCCTGCTTGCAAGGCAGGCGCTTATGCCGCTGAGCTAAATCCCCAGCCCCATCATAGGGTCTTCTTATGCAGTTAGGCTGACCTTGAACTCACTGTGCAACCCAGGCTGGCCTCAGTGCTGAACTGCAGGACCAGGCCTCACGCCTGACTGAAATGGATCCTTCTCGAGAGCTGATTCAGAGCTCTAAGACGACAGTATAGCTCAGCAGCAGAGTGCTTGCCTACAATGTACAAAGCGCTGCATTTGCTCTCCAGCACAGGAAAGGAAAAAAAAATTGCTGTCACTTACTCCTTTAACTGGAAAATATTAGGTTGCACATGTGACTTACGTTGTATTTCTTTTTGGTTTGGTTTGGGTTTCTTTGTTGTGGTTTTGTTTTTTTGTCTTTTTGAGACAGGGTCTCACTTTGCAGTTCAGGCTGGTCTTGAGCTCACTTTGTAGCTCAGTCTGGTTTCGAACTTGCAACAATCCTCCTGCCTCAGCCGCCCAAGTGCTGGGATACAGGCATGGGCAACCAGGCCCGGCTACATTCTGTTGGACAGCACTAAGCTAGAGGTAGGGGGTTTGTATATACTTATTTATGGATACTACAGTGCTTTTCATACTTTAAAAAATTAAATTACAATTTTATATCCTCCCTTATCACCTTGTTTCTTATCAGAATAAACCATTTTTCTCTTTGAAATAAAATGGATTTGAGGGGGAAACAGATTAAACTTTCATGACTTCTGTAAGCCAATCATTCCATCAAAATGGGTTACCTCCTTGTTGATTCTTCTGTTTAGCTGTGCATAAGAGAAGACCATTGCTTCACTTTCATGTAAGTTAAACACAGTTGGCTTCTTGTGTTTTGAAATACCACTCAGCATTCAAGAACTACTGTGAAAACAAATGTGATTGAATTTAGAGGGGTGAGCCACTGCTTTTTGGCTTGTCCTATAGAATATATTTTAATAGAAGGTCCTGAGATCAAAACACACTTTTCCCCCATTACCCTAAAAAAGCAGCCTTCCCCATTCTTTTAAGGAGAGCTAAGGTTGGCATCTTTTAGTTGTGTCTTGTTGCAGGAGCCCACCTGTGTGAATAGTGCTTTTCTTAACTTTTACTCTCCAAAAACAGAAACAGATTACCCACCAAGCCTTTTGTCTTGCCTTTTGTTCCATTTTCAGGAAAAGGCCATCACTGACGACATTGGCATATCCACGTGGAAGGAGCAGACTTTTCTCTCCCACTGTGCCTTGCTGGCCAAGAGCTGCCAGGCTGCCATGGAGCTGGCGCGGCACGGTGCCGAGGTGCAGGGCACGGCGTTCCGCTACGGCAAGCACGTGGCCATGAGCCACAAGGTGCGTGTGCACACCCTCCTGTCACCGCGCTGCGGGCTCAGAAAGTGTTTGTGATGTGTTTAACATCTGTGCGTGATAGACAGTGAGTGTCAGGTAAGGCAGGCAGCATGTGTGGTCAGTACTGTGCGATTGCGACAGAAAGCCACAACCTACGTGAGCCGTGCTTGGGAGGCTGCCTTTTCTGCCCACCTGAAGGGCTCCTGAGGGCATGCATACACATCAGTTAGCAACAGGTAATATTGCTGTTCATGGAACGGACAAATATTTGTCCGTTATCTTCATCAGGATTCCCTTATGTAAAATAAATATGGAAAGTTAGTAAATTTAGAAATATAGTGAATAAAATTGAAAGCTTTAATTCTAATAACTGACTCATTTGAATGGCATATGAAATAACACACAGTGCCCAAAGGTGGTGTTGCTTCTGTCTATGTCTCTGTCTCTCTGTGTGTGTGTCTCTCTCTCTCTGTCTTTCTTTCTCTCTGTCTCTATAATCTGAAATTTTTAAAAATAGTATCTATTTTCCCAATATTCATTAATAGCTGATAAGCGGGAATATATACATAATTGCATGAATTTTTGCATGTTATATTAAATAATAGTTTGTTAAGTAATTATATTTGTTACATTTTATCTAAATCCTTACCTCAAACTTAAAATATCAACTAAAGAAAAGAACGGGGCCAAGGATGTGTTAAGTGGTGGAGCCCCCTTTGGTTTGCTCTCCTGCACCTAAGGAGGGAGGGAAGAAAAGAAGAGGGGGAGGAGGAGGAAGGGAAATGAACTCTGAAGAACGTTGGAGATGACTGTCAGTCGTCCAAAGTGTCCTCTGTTTATTAAAATACGTTTTAAAGCTGCATTCCTACAACTTCACTTTTCGCTGTGCTAACTGGAGCTTTGTGAACATGGCTAACAGGTCCTGGAGTGCACACACGTCGCTGATGTAACTCTTTTACTGCTCCTTCTAGATACATTCTGACCTCCAGCCTTTTATTAAAGAGAAGGCCAGTGAGTCCGCGACTTTTAATCTAAACTCAGCACCTGTGGTTTTACATCAGGAATTTCTTGGAAGAGATTTGTGGATGAAGCAGATCAGAGAGGTAAAATGAAATCGCTCCTATTTCAAGCGCCATCAGTATTTTGTTGATTTTAAAACATCGTTCATGTTTCATAGTGATTCAAGGCTGTAGATCAGCCATCGAAGCATATTCATTTAACAGGCAAAATTATTTCCTTATAATCTGCGTTTTTAAGGTGATACTAGCAGTTAGACACGGCACTATTTATTGTGTTTTTAGTATCTGAGTTCTTCGAATCCTGCAGCACAGCACGAGAGCCTGTGGCCAATGCTAATTAACTCCGATGGTATTTTTTTCTGAAGGCTTTCAGCCATCGGGCTGTGGTAATAGCACCACCCTTTAGCTGACGGCAATTTCCCATCTGTGGACTCGAGCACAAGCTGCAGAATTCCAGGAGCTCCGTCTGTCAGCTCTTTGGGTTATTTTAAAACAAACTTGGACCCTGTACGCTCATTCCGAGGCTTTATTAAAAAAAAAAAAAAAAAATACAAAAACCGGCATGAAGAGAGAAGGGGAAAGGGGCTTGGGTTGGGTAAATCTACCTTTCAGAGGTATGGGAGAGCGTAGGAGAGGAAACTTTCTGTTTTCCTTTTATTTATTTACAGTTTTTATTTTTTGAAACACAGTCTCACCATGTAGCTCAGGCTGGCTTCAAACTCAAGGCGATTCTCCTGCCTCAGCCTCCCACATGCTGGGATTATAGGCGTGTGCCACCACGCCTGGCACTGGTTTTCTTTTAATTCAGAAGCTCCAGTGTAAAAACTCTTGCCTTTCTCCGTAGAGCCTCATGGGTTTCCTCACCTTCGTGGTTGTGATGGGTTGGGTTAACCCAAAGCCCAGGAACTGGGGAAAATGGGCCCCGAGGAGCTGGGGAAGTGGGGGTAGATATGGAACTCACAGCAGAGCACAGTAGGTATCATGAAGAGGAGAAATTCCTGCTCCCCAGCCCTCTTCCTATACTGACTCTCACCATGACAACGGCCAGTTTATAATCCCTCCTATTCACCACCTACAAACGCACAGAAGCCTTTTCTTAGGGAGCTATCAAGCCAGGAGAAAGACCTGCAGGCAGGGCTGTTCAGGGTGCTCACAGTCAACATGCCCTGTTGCAGCTGTCCCCTGCAGGGGGACCTGCCCCCCAGAGGTCTCAGCGTGTGGACACTCACGTAACCGCCATGTGGCACGGAGAGTGAGTTACAGAAGAGCTCAGGGCGCCACCAGGGAACAGAAAAGAGACTCAAAGGAAACAGACCACGTGAGGAGAGGGAAGGGTTTTTAGAAGCACTTCAGCAAGAGTTTAACCCCTTGTAAAAAAAAAAGATTATGCAATTGGAATTGCTGGGCAAGGTGGCCCATGTCTGTAATCCTAGTGCTCGGGAGGCTGAGGCAGGAGGATCACCGTGAGCTTGAGGCCAACCAGGACTACATAGCAAGACCTTGTCTCAAAAAAAATATATATGTGTGTGTGTGTGTACACATATATATGTGTATAATGTGTATATATGTGTGTATAATGAGAATTATATGAAAATATAATCACAGAAACTTTTTTTCTTTTTTTGAGGCAAGGTCTTACTGTGCAGTTCAGGTTGGTCTCCAATTTGCAGTGATCCTCCTGCCTCAGCCTCCCGAGTGCTGGGATTACAGATGTGGGTCACCATGCCTGGGTTTGAATTTCAATTTACATCTTATCAGTTTTTCCATAATTTACATAAATACAGAGCAAATCGGTTCATCCTTTAGATGATGTTAAAATGCTATGCTTTTTGTCTTCTTCCCCTGAGATATGAAAACATATTCATCCTATCTGCTCTTTCTAGCCTTTTTGCTGTTATGCTTCTGTATCCCTTCAATAGTTACTAAAAGGCCAACCACAGGAACTTTTTTGAATCAGAAGCATAGAAGATACAAATGAGAAAATTGAATAAAACAACAAAATAGAAAAGATAAGAAAATAAGACTTGGAAAATGACAGATTCATTAAAATTCTATGAGAAAATTAAAAATTGAGGTAAAAAAATCATGAAATTTATTAAAAGTTCTGAGATCTGAAAGATGTGTGTCTCCAGATAGAAATGGTGACCTCAATAATAAATTTTAGAAGACCTGCACCATGCTGGGGTGGGGTTCAGTAGTGGAACATGTGCTTAGCATTCAAGAAGTCCTGGGTTCCATTTCCATCACAGAAAAAGAAAGAAAGACCTGCTCCAGATCACGTGTTTATCAAAGTCTGAAACAGTCTTCGTTACGTTTCATACAAAGAACCAAGAATTATAATGACATCCTAGTGACACTGAAAGATTCAAAACAGTGGAATATGCCTCCAAATGTCAAAGAGAAAATTGTTTCCAGTTTATAATTTCATGTCAGGGCTGGGGATTTAGCTCAGCGGCATAAGTGCCTGCCTTGCAAGCCTGTGGTCGTGAGTTCGATCCCCGATCCCTGGTGGTATAAGGGAATGAAATTCCCGACCTAATGATACAGGGGAATGAGACTCCCAACCTGGTACATCTGCGAGCTTGTGTTCTCTGAAATTGAAGAATGAATTTTAGGAACAGAGGTGAAGAGTAGAGTAAATTTGCTGAGAGAAATAAAGTTTCTGTCTGAGAGAGACAGAAGGGGTCCTGAGCAGGTTGCCAAGGACTGTCTTTTCCAGGGACTTTTAAGAGCAAAACCATGGGTTCAAAGGATGGAAGAGACTGGGAACTCACAAAGCAGATGGGCAAGGTGCGACGTCACTGCGGTTAGCCAATAAGATCAATAGTTTAGGTAAAATTGATTAAATTGGGGACAAATGGGAAAGCAAGTCACATAGGGAGCAGGCGATCTTAGAGTTCAGTGATTCCTCCTGTGGGGATTGGGATGGTGACTCCGCGCTTCTCAAGGTGACCCAGATTTAATCCCTAGGGGTTATACTTAGGGTGTGGCTGCATTTGTTTTGCCTTCTGTTTTGAGATCTGGCCCACAGCCAGAGGTGTGTCCCCTCCAAGGTCATCAGACACTGGCCTCTGTGCCGGTTTGAGGGCCTAGCCCTGTCTGACTGCCTATTGTATTTCTAACTGGCTCAGCTGCCCGTAACACCGGTACCCATAAAAAAAAAAAAAATTACAGATAATTTTATGTCAGCCATATCATCAAATGTAATATTAAAGACAATTTAAAACAGATCTAAGCCAGGCATGGTGGCATGTACCTGTAATCGCAGCACTCCGGAGGCTGAAGCAGGAGGATCACTGAGAGTTTGAGGCCAGCCTGGGCTTCAAAGTGAGTTCAAGGTCAGCCTGAACTGCATAGTAAAACCCTGCCTCAAAAAGATAAATAAACAAACAAACAGATCTATAAACCTCACAAAACTTCCCTTCCACACAGCTTTGTTTCAGAGGACAGTCATGTATTCCATCCTGACAAGAGAGATATAGTGGACTCTAGGGACCAAGGCCCGGACACAGGTGGGAAGCGGTGGGAAATCCCAGGGCAACGTGGAGGCACCAGGAACGCACCTGTGCCCTGTACTCAGGTGATGTTCCCATGAGGAGCCTGAGGCGCGAGATGAAGCTTGTGCACAGGTCGCACAACCAGCAAGTGGTGGACCCAGTGTGCAAATCCAAACAGCCCGCGTGCGGGGCCGCGTCCTCCAACAGCACACGGCCCCTCTGCCATCCAGCAAGTCCTAGACTGGTGGCTGTGTCCAGGCTACCCTGGAATAAGAGCTCAGAGACCTCCACCCCGAGATGGAGGGGATGGAATGTTAGGTCACCTAATATGCTTGCTGGAGAATTAGAGATGAGTTAATTACAGGTACATAGAAAACGTAATCTTCATTAACTATTACAACAAAACTTAGCTGCTTAGAAATAACCATATTATTAGGTGCCTAGATGCTGGGCTTGTGAGTATGGACAGGGTGTAGTGGGGTGACTTGACCTGCTCGGGGGTGTCTGGCCGTTACCCAGAAAACCCAGCTGCTAGACACGGTAGCAGTTCTGTGGTACACGTGCCATAGGTTTGCCCCCCCAGAGGCTCTTCATTCATTCACTCCTGCCAGCAGCCTGAGACCTCGGAAGACCAGGTGCTGACCACGCGGAGCTCACACATGCGCCCTCCGTCAGGCAGGCATTCCTGCTCCAGCGCGGCCTCATTAGAGCCTCCTAGAGGGAGACTGCTCAGGACACTGTGTAGATTCTCCCACGGGCAACACAGGCCTGCATCTTCCTCATGGCCCCCCCGGAAGGCCAGGCCATTTCCTGGTCCGTCAAAACACCCGTCGGCCCTGCGGCACAAAGGCCAGGGATCACAGACCTCACCTCCCCACGGCACATTTTAAAACAGCCACCCCACATTGACGGAACAGAATGAAGTCAGTATTTGCTACGGTGGAGAAATTAAAAATCTATAAGGGAGATGTAATCACAAGACTCCTTATGGCATAGAGAATAATATTTATGTAACCAAAATGCAAACTCTGGGTTTTTATAATGAGTACATTTTATTTATAAAGCAATCCAAATACCATTTGAAATTAGGAAACATTTCCAGTTTTTATTCACAAAATTATTAATCAAAATTACAAAAGCAGGTTTATCCAGCCAAAACTCAAGGGACAGGAAAACATTCCAAAGACATCTTGCGATGTTCCAAAGAAGAACACAGCAGACGAGAAGTCTGCAGCAGCCTGCGCTTGCCCAGCGGGTTCCGTTCACCGTGGCGCTTGCCCGGCACGTGCTTCATTACGTTTGCTGTCCTCTTTCCAAGGTGGCATTTCCAGTCTAGTCCGGGTGCCGTTGAGTCCAGTAATGGCGAGCCTTTTCTTTTACTTTGTTTATTTATTTAGAGACAGTGGCTTGCTCTGCAGCTCAGGCTGGCCTCCAAGTCACAGCTATCCTCCTGCCTCAACCTCCTAGAGCTGGCATTCGGGCGTGCGGCACCACGCCCAGACTACCGCACACCTTTGAGAGTTTCCAGTGATAGCAAACAGCCACTGCAGCACTTGTGCCCTGGGTGTGCCACCACTGTTGTAGCCA